TCCAAATGTGTTGAATGAAGACAGACTCTGTGTAAACAGCAGGTGATTTCTGATAGTTTAGATTGATCAGCGGGTGATGATATCATTAACCGACATCACTGATTGGTCACTCCTGATTTAGGCTCTACGACTCCTCGGTGACTGATGATAGGTTCTGTACAGTAGAGCGTCAACTGAGAGCCATGAGTGAGATTAGAAACAGACAGGTGTGATTTGGTCCTGAAGCTCAGACGTGTTTTGTTTCTGTGGCGGTGGAGCTGCAGCTCCTCCCGTTGTTTTGGACCGGGTCATGCGGCGGATATACCCAGGAATTCTTGTGTGACACCACATCTGCGAGTTATCAGTCTGCTAACAGAAACACGAGGAAGAGGAGGGTGGCCTTCGGGGCCAGGCACGAGCCATACGACAGCTCTGCTCAGCGTCCCGCGTGGGCAGCTGGAGAGCGGCGCCGACCCGTTTCTCTGCTCGCCCAGAGAGGTGACTTGGACAACAACAAGCACACAGCTCAGAAGATCAGGAGGAAAAACTTACAACTTCAGAAACATGGAGCTACAAAAAGGCCACGTTTAATAAAATATGTCAGAGCGGGTCAGAAATCAGCTGGAAAAACTAACATCTGTCCAAGCTGAACTGTGGAAATACACAAAACTGATTAAATTAGCAAAACAATAGCTAACAGCTAAAAGAAAACTTTAGCTGAAAGTCGTAACAGCAGCTAAACACTAAAATTGTTAAAATTAGCTGCGGTTGTCAGAGTTCAATAAAATTTGTTCAGTGGAACACGAGGTATTTTATTAATAAACAAAACACAGGCATAAACATTATCACCCGCCTTTCACCCAGCCGGTAAAATTGAAAAATCTTCCAGGTTTTACTTTTTAGACATGAATCTTTAATTTGCAGTTTGATGTTGAATTGGATTAAATCTACGAGGAGTTGGATAAAAAGGGCTTCAATCATTGAAATGATGAGGAAAATGTTCACACGGAACAACAAGCAGTCTTTACGGAGCAGCTCAAACTGTTCCGAACACAGGCACGAGTTGGTTTTGCCAGAGACAATTTCCCGGTCGCTTCTTTCAGCTGCTGTTGACCGGACAAAGTTCAGACGCTGCCACTGGGACCACAATCGATAAAGAATCCCTGACAGCTAACGACACGGGTCCAGGAAGTGAGACCACACCAACCCAACACGAGCCGCTGCGTCACCAGACAAAGGTCAAAAAATCAGTCGTCTTATTATCAACCTGACAGCGGGTTTTAAACATCTGACTCCATCAGAGTTCAGAGATGGCTGCAGAAACCAGGAAACGTTCAAACCATCACCACTTTAGAAAACAAAGTAAACGGCTTCCTCCATGCCTGTAATGATGATTCAAATTGTTTATACATAATATTGGATGAATTTTACTCAATCAGGTGAATTTGTTTTGACGATTTTATTTTCCAAAATGGGCGCCAACAACACTCAACAGAAATGAAAAATTCAAAACAAACGCATCCTTTTACATCCCGAGCTCAAAGAGAAAAATCTTCTGATGGGTAAAATATTTTCCAAACGCCACAGAAGTGTAGAAACAGAAATGATCTGGATTTGTAGATCTGGACCTTTACCTCACGTTACACCTGGGACAACTTTACCTTCCATGTTTACACCACAAAAAGCTTATTGTGTGAACGCTTCTGACGGATTCACACTTTTGTGATCCATTTTTCTTCCCTACGTTTGTAGGCATCTTTCTCGTTCCACAACTTTTGTGCTATTTCAGCAAATCACATATCAAAACGTTCAGCTCTTTCAGGACAATCCTATGACTTTGGCATTGGTGCAACTTTAGCTTTTTGAAATATGCCTTTTCTGCCACTTTTTGAATTGAGCTCATTTTACATCCTTTTACTGCTCCTTTCACATTTTGTTCTGGTTCAGCATCTTTCAGCTTCCTTGTGCAAATTTAAACTTTTTTCAGCTCCTTTCAGCTAATTTCAGCTGGGGTTTTTTTTCAGCTGTTTTGTGCTCCTTTCAGATTCTTTCTGCCATCTACATTTTTCTGCTTCTTCTAACTTCTTTCTGCTAATTTCACCTTGTTATGCACCTTTCAGCTGATTTCTTCAAGTTTCAGCTTTTTATATTTCAGCTACTATTTAGCTGTTCTATGTTAATTTTATCCTAATTTTAGTTAATTCCACATTTTTTTGCACTCATTTCAACTTTTTTCAGCCTATATCATCAAAAATGTACTCTCCACTTCCTTCTGGTAATTTAAGATTCTTTCTGAATTTTTTAAGCTACTTTTCAGCCGTTTTCTGGTAAATTCAGCTTTTTTTCAGATAATTTCCACTTTTCTGTGCTCATTTTTGCTTCTTTCAACATAAATTGGCAAACATATTCTTTCTTCCTTCTGATAATTTAAGCATCTTCTACCAATTCAGCAAGTTTTTTTAAGCATTTTTAGCTCATTTCAGCTGTTTTCAGATCAATTCAAGTTTTTCATGGCAATTTCTGCTATGCTCAGCCTAAGTATCTTCTTTATGTTTATTTCAGCTTGTTATGCTTTTTTCAGCTTTTCATGCTACTTTCAGCTTTTTCAGATACTATTTAGCTGTTTTATGCTAATTTTAGCCTTTTCAGATAATTCCACATTTTTTAGCTCAGTTCAGCTCTTTCTGCTTCCTTCTGGTAGTTTAAGCTTCTTTCTGCATTTTCAGCTACTTTTCACTTTATTTTTTGCTAATTTAAGCTTTTTCAGCTCATTTCTGCTTATTTATATAGTAAAAAAAAAAGTGCTCTTCCGGCGTTCTGCTAATTTAGGCTTGTTTTTACATTTCAGCTGCAATTCAGCATTTTTTTTTTAGCTAATTTCAGCTGTTTTTTCAGTAAGTTCTTCAGCAATAAGCATTTCACACCGCATTTTCGCAGGAAATGCAATTTCTCTAGATACAGATGTTCAGAGAGCTGCCTTAACTTATCTACTTCCTATTTTGGACTTCAGTTTATTCATTCCAGCCGGTTTTGTCTTTATTTCAGTTGCGTGAAGGGAACGCTCAGTCAGATTTTATGGCTTGCTGCAACCACGGCTCACTTCATGAATTTAACCGTTTCCACACCGTAAAATAATAAATCATCCTAAATTATCAAGAAATGATTCTCCTGTCTTTCAGAGGAACATTTCCTCATGATGAGATGCTATCTGGCTTCTGATGACCTGATTCATGATAAATCACCCAGTCATCCCCACAACAAACAAACAGAAGAGGATTTCCTGCAGAAATAACAAAAAATGCTGCAGAGCGGACCGGACCGCTCCAACGAGGCGTGCTGCGAGTGTGAAAACAAGCATGTCTGCAGAAAACTGCTCACACGGCAAAGCTTTCTACTGTTGCTCATCTTGCTGCTGCTCCCTCCTTCAGGTGTCATCACAGCGAGCAACCTCGTACAAAACGTTTCATTGGTTTATGTCCTTCCAGACACAACCTGGACTCGAACCTGCAGCCACGACCTCAGACTTCCTGTAAAACGCTGCTGCTCATATTCATCAAACATCTGTCTGAATTACGCAGTCGTGTTGACTTTTGTTTCTGTTCGGTTTGCAGGCAGCATGGTCGGCTTCAGATTCATGGAGTTAACCGTCGTGTTGGAAAACACTGTAAGGGCTCCTTATTTTCCCGTAACTGACAATGTTGACAACAAAAAATAACTAATGTCGGCTGTTTAACCATTTATTCTCAAGACTCCTCCTGCCACCAGAACCCTCACCAACCTGTCAAAGATGGAGTCAAACTTTCACACCTTCATTTCTGGTTGTTACATCATAAAACTTCCCACTGTTGTTACATCTGGACACACATTCATAACAAACAATTGTTATCTTTATATTTTAGACAGACCACTGATGTAAACAAAAATGATGCTCCATCATTTTACTGCACATTTTTTTTTATGATTTCTGGTCATAACTTGAGTTTATTGGAGGCTAGGTAGACTTTTCCAGTGTGTACTCTAGCTGATAAGGTCCTGTCCACACGGGAACGGTTGTTATATAAAAAAAAAGTTTTTTTTATATATATATATTTCTGTCCACATGGAAACGATGTTTCAGGAGCCTCAAAACTGTTTTTATTTAAAAAAACACGTTAAAAACCTCCCTTATTATATATTTTAAATGAAACAGGCCACTTTACTGCTTTTAAATCTCCTAAAACGTGCCCGTATTCACTGACATTTAACAGAGTATGATCCGATTTATTATCTCATTGCGTTTTCATTTTTTGATGCTTTTAATTATATCTTGTTTTTTTTTTTTACTTGATGCTGTAATTTTATTGTTAAGCACTTTGGTAACCGTTGCCATTTTAAACGTGCTTTATAAATATATTTGACTCGACTATATCACCTAAACCCAATGTTTTAAAATGAAAGACATTTCAGGGCATTTGAAGTTTTATTGCTTATAATGTCCATTCTTGTTTATACATCGCCACACTCTGGCCTGGCATAGTTACTGCAGCGTTTTGAATCGTTTTCTGTGTTTTTGTGTGGATGAAGACGTTTCTGAAAACGACGTTTTCAAGATTTTTGTTGTCGTTTTAATTTTTTTTAACAGAGGACATTTCAGACCAGATGCAAATGGTCTACAGCAGCAGCACACAACCTTTGCTCCTAGCTCGGAGGTTTGCTGGTGTTAAAAAAAAAAAAAATCTGCTACAGACAAAAGGAGGTGTAAACTGAAGTGACAGTGTCTCAAAATAAAATAACCTGTTAAAATACTAAACGCGTTTTTGAAATAATTTCAATATTTCAGTGCAGCCCAGTACAAACGATCCACAGTACCAGTCCCTGTGATTTGGACGTGAAGGACCACTTGTGGCCCGCCAGCCTTGTTGTGCCGACCCTCCCTGTGAAATGCGTCAAAAGCCTGTGCACGTGACCCTCCTGCACGTCCAGACCAGAGAAGCCAAACAGAAGAGCTGGCGGAATGCGAGAACTCACGCACGCGCACTCACCGTGGCGGACGTCAGGCAGCTGTCGGCCAGCGTCAGGTGGTGCGGCTCCCATCTCCGCAGGAACTTGGAGGTGAGGATCTTGCTGAGGAAGGTGCGCGGGTGTTTGAGCACGCACACCTGGATGTCCCCCTCGTGCAGCAGCTTGTAGCGCATGCCGCCGCAGGGGTGCGGGCTCCTCCTGCACTGGCCCGCGCCCACCTTGGTGTTGTTGCTCCCCTCCGACATTTCCCCCAGGAGCGGCTTGCTCTCCTCGCAGGGGTAGAACTGGTTGTTGTGCAGCTCGTTGGCCCCCCCGCCGCCGTTAAAGTCCATGTTGTCAGAAATCCGAACCTTGCTGGGTTCTGGAGGAGGTGGGTTCAGGAATCCGACAATAAAAGTCGTTCAGTTCGAGCTGGAGGGGGGGTGGGGGGTACCTACCTCCCAACACGACCCCAGAGACCGACCCGACAGGCTCCGAACGGCCGCAGACCCACGAGCTAATCCAGATGTTCGAAGGTCTTTAAACAATCCACCATTTTCTTCCTCCGCGGTCCGTGCGCGAGTCGCCAGCCTTCTTCCCCCTCACCCCACCGACAGCGCGAGCTAACTCAAAGCGTTAGTGCCACCATGGCCTGGTCCGTTCCGTCCCGTCCGGAGCCGAATCAGTAGTCCACAGCGAGCAGGAAGCCACCGGAACACGAAGGGAAATCCAGCGTCTAGGCCCCTCCGTAAGATCCGGAGGCCATTTCGGGCTCGACGGGCTTCGCTTCGATTTTATTCACCTCTTCTTCTTCGTCTTCAGCTGCTGTGAAGACGAGCCAACGTTCTCCGGCTGCTGCGCGCTGATTGGTCCCGACTTCGCCACGTGACGCCGGACTGACGTCAATGGGAGGCGAGAGGATGAGCGGTGGTTTCTTTGTGTTCGTATGGCAAGCCCTTTTAACATAAAATCGAGTAGTCTGACTATCTGTAGTTACATTCTAGATATCTTAAATTGAGTTTTGACTAGGCACAATTACATTTTGACTAGTCAGAATGCTAATTTAAGATATCTTGAATTACATTCTGACTAGTCAGAATAACAATTCAAGATATCTTGAATTACATT